AGAGCGTTCTCTCTGGTATTGCGTTGAAGATCTTCCTGGCGATCCTGCCAATGCTACTAACCTTCCTGTCAACAGCGGAGGGGTACACAGCCAAGGCGGGCATAGACCTGGCGGCCACGGGCAAGTACTTCTACTTCATCATCGGCACCGTCTTCTTCGCCAACGTGCTCGGAGGGGTCCTGCTCGACCAGGCCAAAACCCTCTCCCAAAACCCCTCCGCGTGAGTTGCCCCACTCCATTGCACCAATATTCTTTCAGTGGCTGAACAATGCGACTAAACCCCAGCTGCTCAAGTTCGTGCTGAAAGTATTTCAATGGAAGCCACGATGCGTCATGGGCCTTTGTTGGAAGCTTGTTCAGTCCGAACCTCCTTGTGCTACTCACCCCTCCCTTGCTACTGCAACCCCAGCTGCTTCAAGCTACCTTGTTGAAGGCCTGCACCGTGCTTCTCGACACTCAACACATCTCCCCCTGTCTCTACCTCCCCTCCTCCTCTCCCATACTCCCTCCCAAATGCCTGCCCTGTTCTCTTTCAAGTGCTCTTCCCTGTCCCCTCCCTTCCGTTACCCACCGTTCTGCACCGCTCCCAACCGCTCTCCAGAGTGCCGCAGATCCTGGGCGACCGCATCCCCACCAAGGCCACGTTGTTCATGACACACACCATGCTGGACGGGTGGACCGGCATGGCCATGGAGGTGCTGCACCTGCACTTCCAGCCCACTCACACTCTTCCCTTTCCACCGCTCCCCACCACTCCCCACCACTCCCCACCACTCCCCACTGCCCTCGGCCGTGCCCCACCGCTCCCCACCGCTCTCCCAGAGTGCCGCAGATTCTGGGCGACCGCATCCCCACCAAGGCCACATTCTTCATGACCTACACCATGCTGGACGGCTGGACCGGCATGGCCATGGAGGTGCTGCAGCTCGTGCCACTCATCATGTTCCACATCAAGGTGGGCTGGTCTCGTGGGACTTAGTGTAGTATGTGTGGATTTCAAGGCTCTGAACAGAACGCTATGGAGGTGCTGCAGCTCGTGCCGCTCGTCATGTTCCACATCAAGGTGGGCTGGTCTCGTGGGACTTAGTGTAGTATGTGTGGATTTCGAGGCTCTGAACAGAACGCTACGGAGGTGCTGCAGCTCGTGCCGCTCATCATGTTCCACATCAAGGTGGGCTGGTCTCGTGGGACTTAGTGTAGTATGTGTGGATTTCAAGGCTCTGAACAGAACGCTATGGAGGTGCTGCAGCTCGTGCCACTCATCATGTTCCACATCAAGGTGGGCTGAGGGTTTAGGGTGGCTGCTGGGGCTTGCTGTGTAATGTGAGGCAAAACAACCTGCTGGTACGCACGCCAGCGAAACCGCATAAAGGTCATAAACCAATTGCCGCTCAACTGTCGCCCCTTGCCCGTTGCCCTGCCCCTCGTCCCTCCCCTCACCCCTCGACGTGCAGAACAACCTGCTGGTGCGCACGCCAGCGGACCGCATCAAGGTCATGAACCCCTCGCCCCTCACGCTCATCGAAACGCTCTACCAGGTGTGCTCCCGCTCCTCCTGCCTGCACCCCCCCTCTGTTTTTGAGGCGCCTCAAAAGTAGACTCCTCCTGCCTGCACCCTCCCTATGTCAGCAACTGCATTATTCGGGGTGCCTCAAGAATGTACAGAGTATCCACGTGGCTCTTGGCCATTTTGGATTCACTTTTGAAAGCTGTGACTTTTGCAGCAATGACCAAGTGTCTCTGTGTATCTTCTCTGTATGACATTCCACTCTGCCTACTGCCCTTCGATCCCCTTTAATTTCAACCCTTTTCACCCCGTTCCACACCCTTCCACTCCTCTTCAGGTGGAGCTCTACTTCCTGCTGCCCTTCGTCTACTGTGTCTCCAACCCGCTCTACCTCATCTTTGCCATTGTCTTCTTCGTCCTCGCCTTCATTGCCTACCGCAACCAGGTGAGTGCGATGCGGTGCGGTGGTTTGGGAACGGGTGGAGTTGGGTGTAGTGGGGCCAGTTGGGGCCAGCATGGGCCTGTAAAGCCTGGTGGCGTTAGTCTATCGCACCAGGTGAGGTGGCGCAGCAGCAACCAGGTGGACTCCATTGGTGGTTAACCACCACAACGTGTTGCCCTCGGCCCTCCCTCTCAAAGGCCCCCATCCCCTTCCCTTTCACCACGAACCTCCCATGCCTAACGCTGCCCCAATTATCCCTAACCCTTCACCTCCTCCCCTCCCCCGTCCTCCCCCAGATGATCAATGTGTATAACGCGGAGTATGAGACGGCGGGCGCGTACTGGCCGCACTTCCATGCGCGCCTCATCGCCTCCATGATCATCCAGCACCTCACTCTCATCGGCATCTTTGCTCTCAAAGAGGCCAAACTGCAGGTGACCCCAGCTCCACCTCCTCCTTTTGCTGCTGGTGGTTTTTTAGGTGTCTAAAAAAACACTTCCGCGCGCGCCTCATAGCGCCCAGTTTTGAGTCGACTCAAAACGCGCCTGATTGCATCTATGATCCAGCACCTCACTCTCATCGGCATCTTCGCCGTCAAAGAGGCGAAACTGCAGGTGACGCCATCTCGACCTGCTGCTGCTGCTGCTGCTGCTGATTTTCTAAGTGTCTCAAAAATCATTTCCACGAGCGCCTTGTTGCCTCCATGGCCACCCAGCACCTCACTCACTCTCATCGGCATCTTGGCCACACACTGATTCCAGTCTGTAATGTTTTCACCCGTTGTTTGCACCCGCTAACGAGCAGGTGTGGTTCTTGATTCCGCTGCCCATTCTCACCGTTGCCTTCCACTACGTGTTCATCAATGGGCCCTTCGACTCCAACTTCTCCAAATACGCCCTCGAGGCAAGTGGTGGTGCTGGCACGTGGGAGTTGTTTCTTGTAATCCGTTATAGGCATAACTTGAAAGAGATTGTAATCCGTTCATGGACAGACCCTTCGACTCAAACTTCTCCAAATACGCCCTCGAGGCAAGTGGTGGTGACACGTAGGTGGGGACTTTTGAATGGATTCAAAGGGATCTAAAAAATTGCGCATTTATGGACAGGCCTTTCAATTCCCACTTCTCCAAATGCGCATTCAAGGCAAGTGACAGTGGCAAGTGGGGATCATGGGTGAAGGACAAGGGAGAGCATGGCACAGGGAGCATGGCACAGGGAGCATGGCACAGGGAGCATGGCACACGGAGATGTCACCTGTGGGAATTGCCAAAGTTAAATCCATTCCAATACAAAAACACGTGGGGATCATATCATGGGTGGGAGGCAATGGGAGCCTGGCGCAGGGATCAGGGCAGAGGGAGCATGTGTCACGATTGACCGCACCATCAGCCCTGACCTCCAACCCCCCAACCCATTCCCTTCCCTCTGCTCCTTGCCCCCCTCACTCCCTTCTCCACTTCAGGAGGCGAATCTCAAGGACACGGTCGACCGTGCAATCAGCCCCGAACAATCAGCCCCGACATAGACCCCGCATCCTTCCTTCCCTCCCTCCAACAACATCCCTTCTCTTGGCCCTTCTCCTTTCCCCCGTGCAGGAGGCGAACCGCAAGGACACAATCGACCGCACGATCAGCCCGGACCTGGACCCGGCTTCCTTCCTGGCGCGCGCGTACCTGCACCCCTCCCTGCAGTCCGCCTTCCAACTCATGGATGAGGAGCAGGATGGGCAGAACGGGGAGGCAGGGGAAGGTGAAGGGGGAGATGGAGGGGGCAAAGGGGTTGAGAAGGATGGGAAGCGGCGGAAAAGTGTGGAGATGGGTACAGGTGCAGAGAAGGAGACGAAGGGGGGTGCAGCAACCCCTGAGAGTGCACGGCAGAGTAAGGAGGAGACGGAGAGGGGGAGGGAGAAAGAACCGCAGGTGAAGCTGGTGGCTGTGAAGAGGCATCCCCGCAGCGCACAAGCATCGCCAGCACCGGAACCGGCGGTAACTGGGTTACGAGCGTCAAGCCCTCTACCAGCTGGGACTGCTGAGAGAGCAGCAAGAGGGATGTCGCCTGTAAGAAGCTCTGCTGCGGAGGCGTTCAGCAGAGCAGACAGTACAGATGAGCTGGCGTTTGAAGATGCACCTGATTTTTCACCTGAGCATTCACCTGAGGTTGATTTGCTGTTGTCAAGTGGGGCGGGGGTGCAAGGGGGGGCAGCAAGAGCACCGTCTCCAGCGACAGCTGGCACGCTGCCGCTGCTGCCGGGGAGAAGCAGGGCTGAAGATGGAGCAAGTGGGCCAAGGTCTTCGTATAATCTATGAGGCGAGAGTTTACCTAAGGAGCAGAGGCAACAAGGAGCGGTCAGAGGAGAGGAGATGGCACAATCAGTGTTCAAATACCGGTTCGCAACAGCAATAAAGCGCCCAAAGTTCTCAATGTGTCAATAACGCAACGGGGCCGAAGCATTTTGTGTAACATTGCGGTAGGTCACGACAGTTAAGTGAACAGGAACGGTACGGTAAGAAATATTTTAGGCAGTGAATGGCATGGAGACCTCTAGGGAAATGTACCAATACTTGTACCAGTCATTGATAGACAACGATGGTGACATCAGAACTCTCACTTGTCACTCTTATACGGGTAGAGGACTCTGGTCATAGTCAAATGGCAGACATGTTATGGTATATGTACACGCTAACACTCTGGCATGCCTGAACCGCGAGGCGTTGGTGTAATTAACTCGTGGTACACGGCTTGTGGCAGGTACTCACTCCTAGCACTCAAGAAGAGAAACCTTATGTCACATTGCACCTTATCGAGGCCTTATTGGACGTTCAAGAAAGCTAAAGAATATATGGATGGAGACTCTGCAGCGTCAGCAGCATGGCCGCCACGCCACGCCACGCACCACCCTGCCTGCCATGTGTCTTGCCCCGACAATCCACTTGGAGTGCAGCCAGTGTGACGCGGCAAGAAGCACACTTGCCACAGCAGTGTCAAAAGCATGGCCAGCCACCCCTCGCACCACCCTGCCCGCCATCTCCCTGGCCTCCGCCCTGCCAAATATCTACTTGGAGTGTAGCCAGCGTGACACGGCAAGCAGTGCGCTCTCAACAGCAGAGTCGGCGGCATGGGCAGCCACCCCTCGCACCACCCTGCCCGCCATCTCCCTGGCCTCCGCCCTGCCTGCTGTCTCCACCAGCAGCGGCACCCACAGTTCCGGTGCTCGCTGCATTGCTGCTGCCAGTGTGCCCAATGGGTCCACAGGAGGCGCCTTGGGGTGGGGGATGGGTGGGACACACAGGTGGGACACACAGGTGGGACACACAGGTGGAACACACAGGTGGAACACACAGGTGGGACACACAGGTGGGACACACAGCTCTGGTGTTATCGGCACTGCTGGCTGCAGTGTTTCTGACGGCTGAGCGTGGGGTGCATAGAATAGGTGGGAGAGCACGGTGCGAGTCACGGGTGGAAGCCAGAGACAGGTTGGCTACGGCAAAATATGTTCACCAAGCCACGTGCTCACCTGCTCCTTTCCCGTGCTAGACCTGCTGTCTTGATCCGCAGCAGCCTGTCCTGTTTCTCTCCCCTGAGCCATCACAGTGCCTACTCCCCGGTGCCCAGGAGACCCACTCACACTGCCACTCCTTGATCCTCCCTCTCCTCCACTCTCTCCCCTCCCCTCCTGCCCCACCTCTCCCGCCCCTTCTCTTTCTCCCCTCCCCTCCTGCCTCACCTCTCCCTTCCTTCCCGTCGCTCTCCTCCCCTCCCTCCTCCCCACCTCCTCCTCCCACTGCACCCAAAACCTTCTTACAGCCGACCCAACCTTCTCGTCCGCCCATCGCAGCCCTGCAGCCAATCTCTGAGGCGCCTGAAAAGCCTCCTCAGACCCCTTCCCAGTCGACGCAACCGTCTGATCCACCCACCGCTGCCCTGCAGCCACAGCATCAAGCACAAGCCACCCTCGCGTGCGGCTGCCCTCGGCCGACATCACATACGCCAGGAAATCCCCCGCTGCCGCCACCACCGCTGCCTCATCCACCCCTTCTCTCAGCTCATCCCTCTGTCCCCCCTGCCTCTCCTCCCCCCCACTGATGGTTGCCTGCTGCTTTTCCTCGGCAGAAACACGTGCCCCTGTTCTCCCCTCCTGAGCTTCTCTAGGAGAGTTGTGATCCAACCCAGTGGAGTGCTGTGGGGATGGCTTGGAGAGCACGGACGCCTGAAGGTGATGATGGGAGAGGAGGGTGGAGGGAGGAGGTGGGGTGGGATGATGCGGTTTGAGACGTTGCCAAACCGGCTATGCGGACGGATTGATGTGTGTCGGTGTCCTATGTTGTGGCCGAATGTTGAGATTATTAACAGAAAATAACTACTAACACGTGATGCAGAAGATGTCTCGATTCTGGTGTGCTGTACAAGCAAAGCCAGTGCTTATCTGTGCCTTACGGTAGTGGCGCCACGCATGTCCTCATGTCACGCTCACCAGTTGCGGGTCCTCCTTGCACTGCCATGCCACCATGCACCTCCATCTCACTCAATCAGGTGACTTTTGAGTCGACTTGAAAGGCATCTTCCATCTCACTCAATCAGGAGACTTTTGAGTCGACTTGAAAGGCATCTTCCATCTCACTCAATCAGGTGACTTTTGAGTCGACTTGAAAGGCATCTTCCATCTCACTCAATCAGGTAACTTTTGAGTCGACTTGAAAGGCATCTTCCATCTCACTCAATCAGGTAACTTTTGAGTCGACTTGAAAGGCATCTTCCATCTCACTCAATCAGGTAACTTTTGAGTCGACTTGAAAGGCATCTTCCATCTCACTCAATCAGGTAACTATTGAGTCGACTTGAAAGGCATCTTCCATCTCTCTCAATCAGGTAACTTTTGAGTCGACTTGAAAGGCATCTTCCATCTCACTCAATCAGGTAACTTTTGAGTCGACTTGAAAGGCATCTTCCATCTCACTCAATCAGGTAACTTTTGAGTCGACTTGAAAGGCATCTTCCATCTCATTCAATCTCAGCACTCACTCCAGGCACTGCCACCGGATAGCAACCGCTGGCAGGGCCTGCAGCGAGTGATGCAGAAGGTGTCTCAAGCCTATTGAGCTGCTGATCGGAGTGAGGGCTTTCTGTGTGTGCTCGCTCATGCTAGCCACTTGCTGCATCTCACCATAACATGTTATGGTGCTTGTGAAGCCACCAGTCGCTGCAGGCGCTGCCAGCGTGTGATGAGTCTATTTTTGAGTTGACTCAGAAATAGACTCATTGCCAGTGAATGGCCCCCGAGGGCCAGAGCAGCATCCAGCACAGAATGGCCCGCATGTGTGGTGAGGTGCTGATCAAAGCAAGGGCTTGTGTGTGCCCACTCCCTTACAGCAGTACCGTGCATCATGCTCAACCACACCAGTCGCTGCATCTCACCAGTCGCTGCAGGCGCTGCCATCGAATGGCACCCGAGGGCCAGAGCAGCATCTGGCGCAGAATGGCCCGCATGTCTGGTGAGGGGTCTGAGAGGAGGCGCGCTATGATGAACGGGTATGCTGTTGCCACCACCTGATGCGGAGAGGGGGAATTGCAGTTAGGGTGTGGGGGACGAGGGTGAGTAAGGAGGAGTGGAAAGTAGGGGTTGACGAGCAGACAAGAGATGAAGAATACAGATGTGCTATACTTTTGAGGCGCCTTAAAAGAATCAGGATGTGCCATTCCACAAGGTTGTTTGGTCAGGATGAGGGAGAAGACAGCGGAAAAAAAAATATATTAGGCAAGCTACGTGAAATAAGTGTATTTTTGAGACGTCAAACGGGCGGCACGGCATCACATGTCAAAGCGGCAGAATGAGGCCAGAGCAACTTTGAATCAATGTAAGCAGCGCGGCATGCCATAGAGACAGAACGGCATGCCATAGAGACAGAACGGCATGCCATAGAGACAGAACGGCATGCCATAGAGACAGAACGGCATGCCATAGAGACAGAACGGCATGCCATAGAGACAGAACGGCATGCCATAGAGACAGAACGGCATGCCATAGAGACAGAACGGCATGCCATAGAGACAGAACGGCATGCCGAACCTTGAAGTTGGGGTCGAGCGTTGTGGCTGTGCCTTCTAGTGAGCCAAGGGCGCGCACAACGAGGGAGAGGTGTGGCGGCAGGCTGAAGCGGAAGCGGTACATCACTGAGGAGAGACGCAGGATGACCCCCTGGCGTGGCGGGGAAGGGGAGGGATGAGAGTGCATGGTGACATGTGATCCGAGGAACAGAGAGGATGCGATAGTTGCGGGGCGGCAGGCTGAAGTGAAAGCGGTACATCAAGAGAGAGATGCAGACTCCCTGGTGATGGGAGGGTATGGGGAGCGGCGTGTGCATTAGGCATGGGAGCGGCATGTGCATTAGGCATGGGAGCGGCATGTGCATTAGGCATGGGAGCGGCATGTGCATTAGGCGTGGGAGACGCGTGGGCGAGGAGTGGGCGAGATGAAGGTCAGTGGAGGTGGGGCGGGAATGAAAGGAACCGAGTTAAGGCGGAATCGATGCACGAGTGAGGAGAGGTGGGGACAGAGTTCATTGGTGAAAGGGGGCGATAGGGACAGAGGTAGGGACAGAGTTCATTGGTGAAAGGGGGCGATAGGGACAGAGGTGGGGACAGAAAGGACAAGGTTGTATAGAACCGTACGTGACTGATGAAAGGCGAGGCTGTGGGAGAGCGGATGGGGAAAAGCGAGGAGAGACGAGAGTGCAGTGGTGTGAACGAGGTGGGAAGAGTGCTATTGTGCTGCCGCTACCCTGCTCGCCTTGCCCTCGGGAACACTTCTGCGAGTGCTGCAGCAACGGGTAAGAAACACTGTCTCAGCGTAGTCCTGTCTGTGATCTGTTTCGGAGACATTCACACACGGTCTCGAGATCAAGATCTAAGGATTTCGTCCCGTTTAATGCTTAACACTAAAGATTTTTACCGCTTCGTTCCACACACGTTCTTACGAACCTAAGAAAGTGCATTCTTCATCCTTTGAACACCGCACAGATGAATACCCCACCCTCTACATCGAGGTCCGCACAAAAGCGTGCTTCCTGGCATCGCGGACCTCGATGTAGAGGGTGGAGTATTCATCTGTACGGTGTTCAAAAGATGATGAGGGCACTTCTCAGGTTCGTAAGAACGTGTGTGGAACGGAGTGATAAAAATCCTTAGCATTCCGCGTGATCCGGTAAGAAATCGATCGCAGACGGGACTACGCTGAGACGGTGTTTCTTACCACGACTGCCTGTGGCGGAATGAAGTGCAATGCTCGAAAGTTATGTGCTTTTGAGACACCTCAACAATGCACGTGAGCCATACCTGAAAGTCCATGCCGCTTATGCTACTACTGCTCGTGCTGCCCCCCCTCTTCGCCTCCTCCCCTTCACGGAACACCTCTGCAAGAGCCGCAGCAACGGGTGCCACGTCTGCCTGTGGCGGTATGAAGTGCAGCGCTCGAAAGTCGTGCGCCAGACCCTGGGCGTCACGATTCACGTAGTGCACCACCTGGTTGAATGATAAGGCGGGGGGAAAGGGAGAAGGGGGGTGGTGAGAGAAGGGAGTGGAAGCATGTGCGAGAAAGAATGAAGTGCAGCGCTTGAAAGTCGTGTGCCAGACCGTGGGCGCCGCAATTCATGTTATGCACCACCTGAGAGGGCGATAGAGGGGAGAGAGGCCGGGAGGTGGGGGGAATGGGGAGGATGTTGGGTGAGAGAGGTTTGCAGAAATTGGCTGTGTTGTTTCAAAGGTTGTTGCTGTTTCTGGGGTGTCTCAAGAATAGTCTGAGTGGCAGCAGGCTGGACCATTTGCAAAGGTCGGTCTCTGTGTTTGGCCTCCGGATTTTCACAGTGGGCGTCGCCTCACAAAGGGACGAGCGAGCCCGAGAGTGGAGGGGCATGCGAAAGTGTAAGGCGAATTTGTGAATTCTGGGGCAAATTTGTGAATTCTGGGGCGAATTTGTGAATTCTGGGGCGAATTTGTGAATTCTGGGGCGTGTTTGAGAATTCTCAAAACACCCTCCAAGAATGGAGTGGCATTCGAGAAGGTCTATTAACTGGAACAACGGTGGGATTGGGCCACTCACGGCACGGATGATGCTGATTCGCTGCTGAGGTGGCAGCTCGCCCATCATGCCGAAGTCAAAGTACGCCAGCTGGCCGCCACGTGTCACCACAAGATTGCCCGGATGCGGGTCCGCGTGGAAGAAGCCCTCCTCCAGCAGCTGGCGCAGCGAGCAGAGCACTCCCTGGTGTGGGGGAAGGCGGGGTGAGGATGGGTGGGGTGTGGGGGAAGAAAAGGGGGACAGGAGATGGGGAAGAAGGGTTCGGGTCCGCGTGGAAGAAGCCCTCCTCTAGCAGCTGGCGCAGCGAGAGGGGACACGCCCTGGGGAGGGGTGTGAAGGGAGAGGGGACAGGGAGGAAAGGGCGAGAGGGACAGGGAGAGGTGGGGGGAGAAGGGGGAGGGGAAGGGGGGGGGGGAGGTGGAATAAGCCCTCCCGCAGCTGGCACAGCGAGGAGAGCACTCCCTGGCAGGGAATACGGGGGAAGAGAGAAGGGAGAGCCATATTCCCCTGTATTCCCTGCCAGGAGGGTGGGAGAAGAAGGCGAGGAAGGCGAAGTGGAGGGAGCAGGTGGGTGGGGTTGAAGGCACACCGTTGCACCCCAATCCGCGTGGGAAAAGGCCTCTGCCCCGCTTAGCTGGTGCAGCGAGCAGAGCACGTTTTTGAGTCGACTCAAAAACACGCTTAGCTGGTGCAGCGAGCAGAGCACGCCCTGATGTGTGCTCGCTGCACCCATCAGAGCACGCCCTGATGTGTGTGGGGGGTTGGTCGGTTGGGTGCAGTGTTGTGTTTGATTGAGCAGACTATGTTGAGGGAAAGGAGGAGTGGAGAGAGGACCACATACAACACATGGACGTGCCGTGCACACACGTGCACACGAATGCAAGCGTGCGCGCGCACACACACGCAAACAATCTGGCGGCACGAAAGAAACACTTCCCTCAACGAGATAGCGCGGAGTGGTTATGGAGGACTATTTAGAACCACCTACAGCACGAGAGGCTCAGTGACTGCAGCCATGTGTAAACCACAGACACTGAGAGCAGATCCTCTGACATCTTTCAGTAAGCAGCAGTGTTTAGGGTCTAGGCTTAAAGCTCAAGGCCCAAATTGCGCAAGGTTAGTAATCTTGCGCAAGGGTTTGGGCTGGTCAAGAAAGTGTTGGGAGGGTGGGGTTGACTTATTTCGCACGAGCTCTCGCAACAATCGCTGAGTCAGCAAACACCAAGGCAAACATTCTGTTTGGGTCCGAGAGTCCCAAATTGTGTAATACTGAAAGTTGAAGTTTCTGCAGGGAGATTGGCCTCGACCAATCAGATTCATTCGCACCTACCGTAACCCAACATTCGCCAAACCACAGCACCAAAACAACAGCTGTGCAAGATTAGTAATCTTGCTCAGCGCGGCCCGCAATTTGGGCCTTGAGCTTTAAGCAAGTAAGAAAGACAGTGTAAAACAAACACTAGCTAGTGGCCGAGAGTCTGTGGAATTGGAAAGAACAACCTACAGAGTCTGTAGACTACAGCATGTGCGGCTCACTGACTGCAGCCATGTGTAAACCGCAGACACAGAGAGGCTCGCAGCAAGACGACTTTTTGAGGCGCCTAAAAAAACCAAACCACACAGTTTCAGTGCGTGACTGACACAAAGTGAGTCATTCACGCCCATACACACCCTCAGTACTTGAAAGGCTCGTCTGAGAGTAATGAGAGTCAGACTGGTATGCGAAGAGTAGATACTGTATGTATACATATACACTGTACACGTATTTTTATGCTAACACATATATGTGTTAGCATGTTACCTACCAGGTCCACGACAAATTGTGTGTCGAGGCCAGCTTGCAGCAGCCCTGCTCGATCTGTGAGCTTGATGCCATCGATCCACTGCAGCGGGGAGAGGAGAAAGGGAGGCGAGTGGTTGGGGAGAAGAGAAAGGGAGGGGAGTGGTTGGGGAGAAGGAGCTGTGGGAGGTGAGAAGCAAACGAGGTATGTGGATTGCATGAAAGCAGTGACAGCTGTTGAAGAATGAAAAGGGAACAGAGGAGAGAGGAGGAGAGTTGAGACGGGAAGGAGACAAGGAAACCAGCACACTTAGAAGGATACCAGCACACTTAGAAGGATACCAGCACACTTAGAAGGATACCAGCACACTTAGAAGGATACCAGCACACTTAGAAGGATACCAGCACACTTAGAAGGATACCAGCACACTTAGAAGGATACCAGCACACTTAGAAGGATACCAACACACTTAGAAGGATACCAGCGCACTTAGAAGGATACCAGCGCACTTAGAAGGATACCAGCACACTTAGAAGGATACCAGCACACTTAGAAGGATACCAGCACACTTAGAAGGATACCAGCACACTTAGAAGGATACCAACACACTTAGAAGGATACCAACACACTTAGAAGGATACCAGCACAATTAGAAGGATACCAGCACACTTAGAAGGATACCAGCACACTTAGAAGGATACCAGCACACTTAGAAGGATACCAGCACAATTAGAAGGATACCAGCACACTTAGAAGGATACCAGCACAATTAGAAGGATACCAGCACACTTAGAAGGATACCAGCACACTTAGAAGGATACCAGCACACTTAGAAGGATACCAGCACACTTAGAAGGATACCAGCACACTTAGAAGGATACCAGCACAATTAGAAGGATACCAGCACACTTAGAAGGATACCAGCACAATTAGAAGGATACCAGCACACTTAGAAGGATACCAGCACACTTAGAAGGATACCAGCACACTTAGAAGGATACCAGCACACTTAGAAGGATACCAGCACAATTAGAAGGATACCAGCACACTTAGAAGGATACCAGACACACCAGAAGCCCATACACACGTATTCTTTACTCATAGCGGAAGAGCTGCAATTCTGAAGATTGGAAAACGCTTAAAGCAACAGGATCGAAACTTAGAAAATTCTTCCTGGAAAAAAGCTCAGTAGAACTCGTAAAACCCTTTCACTAAAGCAGAACCTTACAGCACAAACCAGTTTCGGCTCACGGGGATCATACCCGCTCAGACTTCATCAGTGTAGCTCGGATCCAGAAGCCCATACACACTAGAAGCCCATACACACTAGAAGCCCATACACACTAGAAGCCCATACACACTAGAAGCCCATACACACGTATTCTTTCAGGTTTCACTTGAGTCTTCTCAAGTTGCCAACCATCCCAGGAAACGTGTTTGGGAAACAGAATCGGAGGCGACTCGAGATTATCTCAGGATGCATCCTACTCACCCACCTCCATAGAGAGCACACGGCGGCTGGAGCACTCCCAAAAAATTCAGGTGTGTTTTGAGTCGACTCAAAACACATCCTACTCACTCACCTCCATAGTGAGCACAGCTATGTGGATTTTACTTTTGAGAATTCTCAAAAGCAAAACACATCCTACTCACTCACTCACCTCCATAGTGAGCACACGGCGGCTGGAGTACTCCCAGAAAATTCTCGGAACCTTCACAAGACCACGACGAGTGCCCCGAGAGTGCTTGCTTTTCTCTGGAAGGCAGAGCACAGGCGAGAGGGCGTGGGACACAGTACAGACATGTGGGCGCGAGGGCGTTGGATGGGGGAACAAGGTATGCGCATGGCATGGCATTGCAAAGGATGGAATGGCTCGGTCACCAGCACTCATGGCGTATGCACAGCACACCTTGATTGGCGCGGTGGTCCCCATAGAGCGCCTGGGACGCACATACACACACGCACACTTGCGCACATGCAACCTGGTCACGCACACCTGCACACATGCACTCACATCACAGCACACCTGCACACATGCACTCATATCACAGCACACCTGCACACATGCACTCACATCACAGCACACCTGCACACATGCACTCATATCACAGCACACCTGCACACATGCACTCATATCACAGCACACCTGCACACATGCACTCACATCACAGCACACCTGCACACATGCACTCACATCACAGCACACCTGCACACATCCACTCATATCACAGCACACCTGCACACATGCACTCACATCACAGCACACCTGCACACATGCACTCATATCACAGCACACCTGCACACATGCACTCATATCACAGCACACCTGCACACATGCACTCATATCACAGCACACCTGGATCGGCAGCGCCGTGGTCGCCATAGAGCGCTTGGAAGCGCTCTGCATTTCGCCCCTCCTGCTCGTAGTCCACCTCATCGAACATGCGACACACCTGGAGGGGGGGGTTTGAAGTGGCTGGGAATTCTTAAGCTGCTACAAATCTCCAAAAGCAAAACCCCAACCCCCTGCATTGAACTCCTCCTGCTCATGGTCCACCTCATCGCACATGCGACACACCTGGAGGGGAGTGGGTTGGGTGGGTCACTTTAAAGCTGCTGCAACCCATAACGCCACTCCACACTACCCCACCTTCCCGCATTGCACCGCTCCTGCTTGTACTCCACCTCATCGAACATGCAGCACACCTGGCGGCAGGCAGGCAGGGCAACCAGGAAAGTGGGTAGGTGGTCTTTGAGGCGCCTCAAAAAGGTGGTGGACCACATGTCAGGTGCTGCAAGCAACACGCGTTTTCCCTCCAAGCTAAGCATTTAAGGTCATTCCTGCTATTCCAACTGTGCTTCACAAGAAGAGCCGGGTGAGGGACGGACGGAAACTGGTTTGCAAATCATTACCAGCTCACCGGGTTTGTCTGTATTCTCACCAGCTGGTCGGCGATGGCAACGAGATCGGATCTGCCGTGCACGAGGGGCTGCAGCAGCGCTGCCACGCGGCGCACCACGAGGGAATCCAGGGCGATCTGCTGCTGCACTGCTGGCCGTTGGATCTTCACCGCCACCCACTCGCCTGAACGCAGACGGGCTGATGGGGCAGGGAGGCGGGAAGAAAGGAGGGAAGAGAAGAGCAATGAGCGAGTCCAGGGAGTCCAGGGAAATCTGCTCTGCTGCTGCACTGCTGGCCGTTGGATCTTCACTGCCACCCACTCACCGAAGCGCAGATGGGCGGGAGGAGAAAGAGAGAGGAGAGAGGGAGAGGAGAGAGAAAGAGATAGACGAGGGAAGAAGTCGGGAGCAATTTGCTGCTGCACTGCTGGCCTGGCCGTTGGAGCTACCCACTCGCCTGAGCGCGGGCAGGCTAATGGGGGATGGAGTGATTGGAGGGGAGAGCGAGAGAATCGTGCAGAGAGATGGGGATGAGGGCCGCTGGATTGGAGCTTCAGTGCCGCCCACTCACCTGATCGGAGACGTGATGGAGAGATGGTGGGCGGGCAGGCAGAAGATGTGAGAGGTGAGTAGAGAGAGGCAGAGCTGAACGACTTCTCGTTGTACCTATGTCCAACCCTCCTACCTCCGTAACCCCTTACACCCTTTCAAACCCCCTCACATCCCTCTTACATTTGCAAAACCACTCCTACCTTTGTACACCTGCCCCAGCGATGCAGCAGCCACAGGAGCGGGGCTGAACTCGGCAAAGAGGTCGCTAAGCGGCACTCTGAGCTCACATGCAAGACAGTGCTTTACACCCCTTTACCCCTTGCACCCCCTCCTACCTTTGCACAACCCCTCCTACCTTTGTACACCTGCCCAATTGACGCAGCGGCCACCACAGCCGGGCTGAACTCAGCAAAGAGGTCGCCGGGCGGCACTACCAGCTGACGCTATGTTCAGAGTAGACTCAACACACACCGTCACACACCACCATCTTCTACCTCTCTGCATCTCCTTCCACTCTCTCCTACCTTTGTACACAACCCCTTACAAGCCCTTAAATCCCCTTACACCCTCCCTCTCCTACCTTTGTACACCTGCCCCAGCGACGCAGCAGCCACAGGGGCGGGGCTGAACTCGGCAAAGAGGTCGCCGGGCGGCACTCCCAGCTCGCGCTGCACTGTAGCAAGCGCCACGTGGCAGGGGAAGGGCGCCATGCGGTCCTGCAGCAGCGCCAGCTCAGCGCAGTACTCGGGCGGCAGGATGTCGGGGCGCGTGCTGAGCGCCTGCCCCAGCTGTTGGGGGGTGGGAGGTTGGAAAGGGTGGGGAGGGTGGGGAGGGTGGGGAGGGTGGGGAGGGTGGGGAGGTTGGCGATGGGGTGGGGGTTGGAAAAGTTTTAAAGTTGATAAGGGGTAGAAGAAGGGAGGGTAACATGATGGTATGGGAGGGAAGTGGCGACGTGAACCGACAGGCGATTGCAGAGGAGAGATTGAAGAGGGCTTGTGCACGTACATACCTTGACATAGAAGGGGCCGAGTCGAACGAGAGATGTTGAAATCACTTTTGAGAATTCTCAAAAGTGATTTCGTGCATACCTTGACATAGAAGGGGCCGAGGCGAACGAGAGACTCCCTGAACTGACGGGGGGAGGGGGAGAGTGGTACGGACAGGTGATGAGAGGGAGATCAACGGCTGTGGTGGATGGACGAGCATGGAGGAGCATTTTAGCAAAGGTCCATTGCTCTCGATGCACACAGTGCAGTGCACTCTCCACACTCGCTCGCTCCCTGCCGCCCCACACTCTCTCCTTGCCGCCCTCACACTCTCACATGTGAATCTTCCTACGCACCTTCCTAGCGCGCACTCTCACGTCCGCCACCGTCTGTTTCCGCCACCACATGCGCCCCAGCTCCGCTATAGTCACACCCGTGCGCCTCGCTACTGTCACGGGCCGCCATCTGTACTCCGCCGCGATCGCCTCAGGATCGTATCTCAGCCGTCCGTTCCCTGACGGGGCGTCAGATGTGTGGCCAGAATTTGTTTGAGTGTCAGTCGAGGGAGGTGTTACCTGAGTGGTTGGAAGGGGAGGTTTCATCTGAGTGGCTTGGCGGGGAGGGGGAGGCGGAACCTGGTAGTGGGGGCTACCTGCCGGCGAGTCGTGTTGCGCGCGGGTGCTCGCGGGGAGAGGTGCGGGGAGGTGCGTGCGCGTGTGTGTGTGTGGAACAGCGGGTGCGTGACGTGTAAGCCACGACGAGTTGAGCGCGTGATGGGGGAGTTGGAGATGTGGAGGCATGTTGTGTGGGCGGCACACTCTTGCGATGTGGGTGGGCCGACGCAACACGCGGAGGAGCGACGGCGTTTCCAAGGGGAATGGAGATGGGAGGAGCCATGTGCGGAAAGGAATCGCCGGCGCGACGCCGGGCGTGGAGGTTGACGGGGCAGTAAGGGGCGATGGACGCGGCGTGCGAAAGACGCTTGGAACGAGCGGGGTGCTCGAGGGTGACAGTAGCGAATGTGGCAGTGACGGGGGGAACAGGTCAGCGGAGAAAAGAATTGTCTTATGTCGGCCTCGTTCTTTGAGTTTCGTCGCCGTGAGCCGGCCAACGCGCCCAACCATGTCCAGCTCTTTTCCAGCAAATTATTTCGCGGGCTGTTCCCTGCCGCTTTAGCAGCGAATTAGCTCAGATTGCGAAAGGCAACGAAAGGCAACGCCATGGCACCTTGATCGAGGACCCTGCTGGAAATGCAGTAGTCGACGTAAGAATGGCGCTAAAAATGCTATCATAGAGGTGGAAGGGATTGTTGTGTGTGATCGGTTTGTTAGAGCGGTCGAGTACGTTACATGGTGCTGAAGGCCGGTCTCGTTACGTTTCTCATAGTTGAATGCTGCGTTTATTCTCAACCACAATTTTGGTGAATGATGTGTGGTGTCCAAGTGGTACGAGATGTGAGACGTTCACTGAAGGAATGCACGGCACGGGGCAGCTCTCAAGGGCCAAGATACAAACGAAACCCTTCGAGAATAACCTCGATGTGTAGCGAGTTTGAAGTTCACTCTGTAACGAAGTATTGCCCATGAAACCCAAAACCCTGGTTTCAGCAATTTGCGGCAGGACTCGAGGGTTGCTGAGAAAGACGACTCGGTGGGAGAAATCATCCAATAAAAGTGCACCACGCGCAACAGCTGTTTTGTAAGCCACGCAAATTCAGCACCACCGTCAACACCCTTTGCCAAGACGTGTCACAAAGTCCATTTTTATGCGGTTTGGTGAGATTTTATGGGTAAAAACCACGGTTCGCTGGTTCCCACGGGTTCATGTGTGACGTGATAATCTGACACCATTTTCCGGTAATTTCGAGGTGGATCCTCCAGCACTGAAAAGGATGATGGCATGTCGTTTCCCGCCAAAAAGTGGCCTTGTGCCTCCACGCCAGGGCTGTCGCTTGCAGGGCGTTTGCCCTGCTGGACCTTGAATTCCAGGGCTGGGTTGCCCTTGAAAACTGAAATTGATGGGTTGGAAATATTCTGGCCCTGATTCTTTACAGGGCTGATTTCGGGCTCAAGCCTGGTGTGTGAAGGGTAGATTTTGGGCGAGCCCTGGAAGAAAATATTTCGAGCCCCCCTTCTCACCCCCTCCCCCCTCCCCCAACACTCCTCCCTCTCCTCTCCCCTTCGTTTCTAACCTGATTGCATCCAACTGGCAATTTTCGAGTTGCGTGGTTGGGCCACAAATTCAACTCAAACTACGTGAGAAAACTTGTGCTTGAACAAATCACAGCTCGCTCTCTGTGGAGTGGGTAGTAGATAGAAGTGCACAAGAACTACCCTGTGGAGTGGGTAGAAGTGCCCAAGATCATCGGTTCTGCAAAGGCTATGAAGCCTGCGAAGCGTGCGTAGTGACATGACGCTAACTAATTCTCCTATGTCGTGTTGCTTGTGGTTGGTAGTTGAAATGAGGCTCCAGAATTTCCGCGCCCAACCTGATTCAAGGGAGGAAAATTTTCCAGCCCTGAAGCCTAAAGGGCTAGACTCGCCCCAATCCTGCTAAATATAGGGTCATACATGCAGGGCCCCCTGATTTGTCCGGGGGGCCCAAAACGAAACGACAGGCCTGCTCCACGCCTTTCGTCCAGACCACCAGCAAAAAACCCCACCCTCCATCACGCCTTGGTCCAAGATTGTGTTGAAGCGATGTACTGCTAGGAAGTTTGTTGTCGCAGCCATTACTCGAGCCACCACGTACGCAGTCTCGTGTTGCTGCCTTGCTTTCGCGTCCTTGCTCCTACCATTGAGCTTTATTGGAGCTCATTCGCATAGACGGAGTTCGCGAACCCGCGTAGCCACTTCTGCAGCGATCAGGTGAATGGTAACGCTGCAACGTTCACCCTGTACATACCACATTCGATCCTAACCTCATAACCCTACACCTCGCTGCTCAAGTGTTCGCCAGCGTGGGGGCCTCCACCAAAGCGCGATGGCTCTTCGCGCAGCGAGTCTCACCGCGACGTCGAGCCTCATTCTCGACGTGCGGGAATCGCGGAGCTCTCGTCATGATTCGCAGGCTGCCCGCTGCGGATCGTCGCCTCTTCGCAGATCCGAATCTTGCAGATTCAAATCTCGACCGCTTTTCGTGAATGCCGCCAAACCCCGTAGATCCGATACAAGAGCCGTCGTTGCAGCAGCTAGGGTTTTTTGCTCCTCGGAACCTTCCTCTTTCAACTCGAGACGTAGAGGGCCGCGTGTGCCGCTGTCAGCGACGGCCTCTTCGCATCACACGGGAATGCCGGCCAGCAAGCCGCCGTCGAAACGATCTCCCCCACTTCACGACTCGCTTGCCACGTGTCAAGCGGTCAGCAGCACGAGGCCCGCTCACGAAGAAAAGGAGGAAAGGGACGGGGTGTCGGCTAACGGCCGGCCTCCAGCCGGTCAGCCGGTTAACGTCCGGCAGCCTGACGGCGCGTCGGTGGAGCCGGCGTCCGGGACGAGTAACGGCACGGCCACAGCGAACGGTGCAGCGACGAACGGATGGAGCGGAGAGGAGCTGATTGGTTACGAAGGGAAGGGCATGCAGCAGAGACTCCGCGTGGCAGTCGACGTCGACGAAGGTACAGAGCGGTGCAGAGTGATAATGGAGGGTTTGCAAGGGTGTACATTTGTCAAGAGGGTTTGGCCTTCGTGCTTTGCGGTAGTGAGTCGCCGGAAGGTTTAAAGGGGTTGCCAAGAGGTTCCTTACGGTAGGGTGAACAAGACGTGGCACTAGGACAGTCCTAGGTTCGTATTCGTAACAACTGACGACGCGTCAGGGTGCAGTCTCTACGCTGGTGACCTTCCCTCGATCCTGACAATAGCTGCACGCATTAAGGCATCCCTCTCTACCAACCCCACCTCCCAACCCCCCCACCCCCACCCCCCCCCCCCCCCCCCCCCTCTCCCCCCACCCTTCCCCTTTTCACACCAACATCACCCTTCTTTTCCCCCTCGTCTCGCTTCACAGTGCTGGGAAGCTTCCTGTCGACGCTGAACCTCTTCTGCGCCGAGAAGTACTCTGTTCGGCACGAGCTGCACGAGTTCTACGTCTACGACTTTATGAAGGTTGGTAACCCTTTTCGACCCGTTTCGCGATTTCGTGAATGCAAGCGAGCGAGTGGCGTTTACCCCCGTCGCAGCGGGGAGAGAAGGAGAAATGCGAGGAGAGGTGGAGAGCGGGAGAATGGAGGGGGTTAGAGGGGGAGGGAGATGGAGAGGGAAAGTGTGAAGGAAAGAGAAAATGGGGACAGGGGACATAGAATCGGGGTTAAGCTGAGACCTGCCTGATCCGGCTGTTTCATTCACTCAATCATTCACACACACACACACACACACACACACACACACACACACACACACACACACACACACACACACACGTGGAAAAATTCAGACACACACACACACACACACGCACACACACACTTCGACATTCACACACACACGCATACTCGACTTCCACCCTCCGTCCCCACTCCCCGCCCCCGCCCGACCCCCATACACCCCGTTCCTCTTCCCTTCCGCCCAAACCCCCATGGCACTGCAAATGCGACTGCGTGGTGCGGTGTGCTGTGCGGTGCAGGTGTGGAAGTGCTCCCAGGAGGAAGGTGAGCGTCCCGCTTCCGCCCTCTCTCCCTCGTCTTCTTTCACCTGCCAACAGTCGCTACATTCTTTTCTTGATCTCAGCGCCTTTTGAGGCGCCTAAAAAGCTCTCTCTCTCCCTCCTTCACCCACCACCCATCTCTACTTCCTTTTGTTGATCTCAACGTTTTTCAAGTTGACTAGCCCATGTGCGGATTTCCATCATCAAGCTTTGAGCTTCCAGCCATATCAAACCCCCTTCCCTCCAACGTCCCCTTCCCCCTTCTCTCCCTGTCAGCCAACCACCGGGTGCACGACTTCTTCAAGTCGGCGCATTTCAACGACGGCATCCCCATCATCCCCGGCGCCTTTGACACGCTGCGCCGCCTCTCCCACTTCACCGACCTCGTTGTTGTCACGTACGCCCCCTCGCCCTGCGTACGCCCCCTCGCCCTGCGTACGCCCCCTCGCCCTGCGTACGCTCGCCCCCTCGCCCTGCGTACGCTCGCCCCGCTTGCCTTTTTGCCTCTTGCCTTTGTACCATGGACTGCTCCCTTTCTCCCTTTCTCCCTTTCTCCCTTTCTCCCTTTCTTCCTTTCTCCCTTTCTCCCTTTCTCCCTTCCTTTCTCAAACTGTGAATATCTTTCCGTGCGCGTGTGTGTGGCTGCGTGTGAATGTGTATGCATGTGTGTGGGTGCAGGTCGCGGCAGCATGTGATTCGAGAGCCCACGTTGGAGTGGCTGGACAACCACTTCCCCGGGGTCTTCTCCTCGGTGCACTTCGGCAACCACTTTGCCCTCGAGGGCACGCCTAAACCCAAGTCCGAGATGTGCCGGTGGGTCTGCGCATAGCGGGAGGGTTTGCGTTGGTGCGTGTGGTGATTGTTATGGGGGTTGCTACATGCATGGGGGGGGGGCTTCTCCTCGGTGCACTTTGGCAACCACTTTGCCCTCGAGGGCACGCCCCGCCCCAAGTCCGAGATGTGCCGGTGCGTGTGCCTTTAGTAAGAGGGGTTCTGATGGTGTGTGTGCTTGTAGCGAGTCCTTCACTCTTGTCTTTCGCTATCGCTGCTAACTAATCCTCCCATCCCCCACCACTGCCCCCCCCCCCCCCCACCCCAACCCATCAGGCAGCTGGGTGCAGAGGTGCTGATCGATGACAACCCGCTGTATGCTGTGGAGTGCCCAAACCCCGTTTCTTTCTCCATGTCTTACTGCTACACATCCCACGCTCCTCCCCACCCACCAGCGAGCTGGGAGCGGAGGTGCTGATAGATGACAACCCGCGGAACGCCATGGAGTGTGCGGAGCATGGCATCCAGGTGCTGCTCTTGCTAATGAAAAACCCAAATCCCCTTCCCCATTACCACCCACCCACCCACCCACCAGGGAGCTCGGTGCTGAGGTGCTGATAGATGACAACCCGCGGTATGCCATGGAGTGTGCGGAGCACGGCATCCAGGTGCTGCTCTTTGATTGGCTGCTGCAGTACCCCTGGAGCAAGACGGCGGGCGGCGGGCCGCACCACGAGCTGATTGAGCGCGTGCGGGACTGGGGCGAGGTGGAGCTGGCTGTCAGGCGCATGGCTGTTGATAGGGCCATGCCGTGGATTAAAGAAGAGAGGAAGAATGCGCATAGATAACATGGGTTGGGCGGAGGGGGTGGGGGGGAGCGGAGGGGATGAGGGCCCCACCACGAGCTGATCGATCGCGTGCGGGACTGGGGCGAGGTGGAGCTGGCTGTGAGGCGCATGGCAGTGGATAGGGCCATGCCGTGGATCAAGGAGGAGAGGAAGAACGCGCATAGATGACATGGGTTGGGCAGAGTGGGTGGAGAGGAGGGGAGGGGCGGGCGGCGGGCCCACCACGAGCTGATTGAGTGCGTGAGGGACTGGGGCGAGGTGGACGTGGCTGTGCGGCGCATGGTGGTGAACCGAGCCATGCCGTGGATAAAGGAGGGACAACAGAATACGTGCAGATGACACAGGAAGGGATGGGATGAAGTAGTGGATGGGTGAGGGACTGGGGCGAGTTGGATGTGGCTGTCAGGCACATGGCGGTGAGCCGAGCGATGCCGTGGATCAAAGAGGGGCAGAAGAATGCGCGTAGATGACATGTGTGGGACGGAGAGGGTGGAAGATGGGGGTGGGGGTTTGTGAGGGTGGTAAAGGGAGGGAGGGGATGAAGCAGTGGGAAGGGTGAGGGACTGGGGCGAGGTGGAGGTGGTGGTACAGCGCATCGCATGGCTGTGAATAGGGCCATACTGTGGATCAAGGAGGAGGAGAGGAATGCGCACAGGTGACATAGGTTTAGGTCGAGGGGGGAGAGGGTTCAGGGGGTGCTCACTTGGGGGCAGTTGTGGCGTTTTGTCTTGAGACGCGCAATTTAGGCCCTGCAAACCGCAATGGGCTGAGGTGACATTCTGTACTGTCAAGGAAAACAGCTTGCAGTGTCTGGTCTGGAGCTGCAATGGGGATCTGTATTTGATTGGGAGCCGCGCCGCAGTGGATGCAGCGTGCCTGAAAGTTCTGTTTCCAGGGAACCATGCATGTTGTTGACCTTGCAATTTGAAAGGTAGCTACTGTCTGTCATTGTAATGTTTCCATTGCTTAGTCAAGAATTCTTGGAGAGCAAAGACTGCTACTTGATAGAAGATATATCATAGGTGCAGCTTTCCATTGTGTGCCGTGTTACAAACCTCTCGCTTCCCTCAAATTTCAGCAATCCCGCTTTCGTCACGCTTGCTCAGCGGATCACTACCCATTTCTTGGTGCCACTCGACCTATGAAGTTGAGCTCCAAATCTTTGCCTTACGATGGAGGAAGGTTCCGCCTTACTGCCGCCATGGCCATGGCCAGAAGCTTCAAGCAGCTCAATGTCTACCAATTTCTTGCCTGAACATACATTGGATAAGGTTTCCCGGTGTGCGGCTTTAAACTCTTCACAATGGTGTAACTTTAGTGTTCATCAAGGGAACCTAAGCACCTTCTATTTGAGTACCAGGCTGTCAGCATTACTTCATCCGTGTATGGTTCATGTTCAAGTCCAAGACTACAGCTACTTTTTCGAACCAAGGTCCCTCATCGTGGCTCATGGATTTCATCGGCCAAGCATCGACATTACTTCATGTGCTCGCGTCAGTTTCAAGGAAGCGCTATCTAACCAAGGTTTTCTCCACCAGGAGCCTCCTGTGGGTTCCTCGGGCCTTGATCTGCAGAGGTTTGCCTTCAAGCATCGGCGTTATAAAATAACAGGAGTCCTGATGAATGTGCTCAGCTCAGCTTTTTCCGCAACCATTCCAAGGCTGACAAGCTTCAGTCATCCTCGCACGATGGTGAAAGGAAAGCGCAACAATGGCAGCAAGAAGACCGCTGACAACGAGACCAACAACGACGGTGCTAACGTACCTGACCCACCTGTGATGGTCACTGCTGGTCGAAGGAAGCTTGCTTCAGGATCTGAGGTGCTGAATGTTGACGGTCCGTTTGAGGACCTTCTGGACCTGCAAAACAATGACGAGCAGGAGGAGAAGGATGTGGCTGCGGAAGTGGCCGAGGAAGGCGACGACAACCCTGAGAAGGCCGCGGATGAGGCTGCTGGCGATGGTGACCGTGAGGAAGCTGCTGCTGAGGACACTGAACAAGGCGCGGAAGACTCACTGTCGGCAATAGCTCCTGATGACGAAGAGGACGGCTACTTGAGCGACGACTCCGACGAACATCTGGAACCTGATTCGCTCAGCAGTGTTATCGCTCTTAAGCGTTTCTCACTAACTCTGTTGGTGCCGATTCACAGGAAACCTGAAGTTGCACGCGCGGCTGTTACAATTGCTGCGCTGCTGGATGACTGGAAGGAGCATCTTTCTCCTGATGCTCAGCAGACGACGACTTACCAAGAGCTGTCGGCGATGTATTTTTCAGGGAAGCGCTACGGCCGCCTGCAAGTCACTTTCAACCACGTCAGGGATGCGAATTTTGTGTGGAAGCGGGTGGTCAACCACGAGTGCCTTAACAGCGAGTGCATCGAACTCACCTGGCAGCATCCGGAAGATGCGCGCTTTCTTCGTGAGCGGATCTTGAATCCGACGGCCAAGGAAGTTGTGCTTAAGGGGGTACCGGCGGAGATCACGGCGGAGCTGATTCGCCGCCTTCTGGTGGTGTCGAAGCTTGTCAAGCGAGGTAGGAGTGCCTTTGCTAGTGGCTTCGGGTTCCATCGCACGGTCGATCCGGTCACAGGGATGGATACTGACCGTATTCGGGGGCTTGTTGTCCCGCACGCTGCTGATGTGTACCGGTGGAGGTACTTTGTTGAAGATCCGTCGACTGGGAAGCGGTACCTGATCCACTACCCGTCACTCATGTGTGACTTCTGTGGTGGTCAGCACATGTCCCGTTACCATGACCATTACATTACCCCGCGCCAGGAGAGTTTTGCCAACTGGAACCTGACAGTCAAAAAGGTTCATGAGTTTAACGGTAAAAGCTGCATAGTTCTTTACTCACCGGCCCCACAAACCTTCTCGCCTGCTGTTGTTCTCCCCTCGTATACAGACGATCATCTGCTCACTCCCCCCCGCAGCTGCATCTCTGAAAGCTTCAGATTTCTTGAAGCGGATCATGAAGGACCCTGCTGTGGTACTCACGTCCACCGGCGTTGCGCGAGAGGAATGGGTGTGTGTTCAGCCGATGTGCGAGAAGGCGCAAGGGACCCGGTTCGAGCAAGCTGCCGCCCATATTGCGTCTGCCAGGCACAAAGGGGGGCTACGCAAAGACGGCACTGCAACACGTGCCAGTGTGTACTCTCAGAAGATGACTGCCTTCAAGAAAGGTTTTGTTGTGAAGCCAGCGGCAAAGTAACCAGCGGCTTGGGTGGTGCTCCGGTGGCAGTTCTGGAGGAGAGTGTAGTGATATCGATCAGAGTAGCAGGCTGGGTAGTTGGTGCAATGTTCTCTTTCGGTGTAGCAGGTTATATCGTTGCAATGAAGCTCAATCGCCCGTGGATGCTGAGGGGCCAAATGGAGTGGATTAATGGATAAACACAACAAGCTCACCTTCCTCGAGCTCAACATCAACGGGCTCGGCAGTAACGGGAAACAAGAGAGGTGTGGGAAATGGATAAGAAAGGCGGCGGATGTGGTGGTTCTTACCGACACCTGGATTCCGGCTGACCACAATTTCTCGACAAAAGTCAGGCCCGAGGCTCGGGCAGTGGTGCCGCCGTCGCAGAGGGCCGGAGGTGTCGCGGTGTTGGGTTTCCTGAAGGGGATGAGGTTCACGGATGTGGTTACGCAGGAGTCAGGTCGGCTTGTAAGCTTGATGATAACTTGGCAGGACTTGCGGTGCAGATTGGTGGCTGTGTATTTGCCGGCGCAGGCTCCAGCCAGGGGGGTCTTCTTCCGAGAGGTCCTGACCCCGTTTGTGCAGAACCTGGGGCCGTCGCAGCATATGATGCTCCTGGGCGACCTTAATATTGTGGCGGACCCTGAGTTAGACAAGTCCTCGAAGCTTGGCACGACGGCGGAGAATCGGAGGCTCCTGCAGATTTGCTCGCGATGGGACCTGCAAGATGCTTTCCGCAGCCTCCACCCAATCCGGAAGGAGTTTACATTCTTCTCGAGATCTGCACGAACGAGCACAAGAATTGATAGAGTCTTAGTCTCGCACTCGTTACTGGGTAACGTTGTTGAAGCTCGTCACAAGATGGTCCCTTACGGTCTGACAGATCATTGGTTCGCGGCGGCTGTGACAGTCAAGTCAGCCGCGTCAGAAGAGAACGGTCCGGGCCTCTGGAGGTTGCAGGCTCCGCAGGCAAGTGGGGAGGGCACCAGGCGGTTAGTTTCGGCGGTGATGAATATGCGGTCGGAGCAGCAGACCCAAGGCTTGTCGCGGCTGATAGTGAACCTGTGCGCATGCATGAGGGCACACGTGGCGGAGGAAAGAAAGCGAGTGAGAGCTACCACCCAGCATCTGGAAAGGAAGGTAGAAAACTTACGGTGGAGGGTGATGGCTGAGCCGCTGGCCCAAGATGTATACGAGGAGTTGGTGGAATGAGGTGGCACTGAAGTTGTATCAAGACAGCAATAGGGAGCGGTTGCAGATCATGTCGGGGCTGATGCTGGAGCTGGCAGGAGAGTCCCCGTCGGGTTTCTTGTCGGGCCTGGTCAAATCACGTAAGGCAAAAACAGAGATTCAGGAGCTCATCTTCAACGGAAAGAACTACAAGGATGCGAGAGAGGTCTTGAAGGCGGCATCGGACTATTTCAGTAGCGCATATGCGGACTCACCGCAGCCGGAGCCCACGGAGCCGTGGCCTATTGAGGACGGGCGTAAGCTGAATGAGCCGGACCGGGATAGACTCAGCGCAACATGGACGGAACAGGAGGTGAAGGAGGCGATCAGGGGCCTCCCCTCCGGGAAAGCTCCAGGCGAAGATGGGCTGTCGAAAGAGTTCTTTGAGTGGAACTGGGATTTGCTGGGGTCGGCGGTGATGGAGGAGGTCAGACTTTTCGAGCATTCATCGGTGCTCTCCGAAGCTTTCACGACGGCGGTGACTATACTCCAGCACAAAAAAGGAGACAGAGCGGTGTTAAGCAACTACAGGCCGATCACACTTTTAAGCTTCTTCTACAAGCTACTAGCAAAGGTGCTGGCGAATAGAATCAAGAAGGTGCTCCCGAGAGTGATCTCCCCAACCCAGTTCGGTTTTCTTCCCGGCAGGAGCCTGAAGGATGCGGTCTCGCTGGTTGCGGATGTGATCGACGCGGCGGCGGAAGAGGACGAGGACTGGTTGCTGTTGCTCGTAGACTTCCAGAAAGCCTACGACTCAGTGTCCCGCGAGTACCTGTTCAGGACACTGGGGGACATGGGATTTCCGAAGGAATTTACGGCATGGGTGAAGGGGTTGCACGACGGCGCGGCCACAAAGCTCCTGCTCAATGGTTGGCTGGGGGAGCGGGTGGAGATGCAGAAAGGTGTGCGGCAAGGCTGTCCGCTCGCCCCTTATCTGTTTCTGTGTGCGGTCGAGCCACTCTGCCAGGCGGTGGAAAGGAGAGGTTTGGGGATAAAAAAGAGGGGTGTTGGTACAATGGCATACGTGGGCTACGCCGATGATACTACGTTGGTGTTAAACGGGAAGGAGCAAGTGCTGCAGGCGAAGTCCCTGCTTGACGACTTTGCAGCGATCTCGGGCTTGAAAGTCAATCAGGAGAAAACGACTCTGATGCCGCTTGGGAAGAACCGGAGGCGGGTACAACCAGACGGCTCACCTTTCAGTTGGGCAGTGAGCGGTGCGGCTGAACGGCTGCTCGGGGTGTGGATAACATCAGGTGGCTCACCGACACCGGCGTGGGACAAGGCGTTCGAGAGCGTGAGTGCGGTGCTGAGTTGCTGGTCGTCGAAACACCTGAAGACTTCGGCACGAGTTACCATAATCAACTGCTATGCGGTGCCGATACTGCTTTTCCAGGCGCAGATCTACGCCCCGCCGCAGGACATCTGGAGGAAGGTGAAGAGGCTGTGTCACAGCTTCATCACAGATGGCAAGTCGCTTTTCGACCGGCACTTCTTCCTGTGGAGCTACGAATTGTCCTGTCGGGAGCGGAGAGAGGGGGGCTTGGGGGTAATCGACCCGAAGCACAGAGTGAACAGCACAGTCATCCAGAACTTGGGGAAGGCGGTGGCAGAACAGGACCCCTTACGCAACTGGCGGTGGGAGAAAGCGGCGGGCTTCTCGCTGTGTCTGGCCACGGTTTATGCGCACCCGTCGATCTTGAAGCACTGGCTGAAAGGCGGGGTTAGGTGGAAAGCCACACTGCAGTTACTGTGGGAATCCAAGTTAGTGTTGGTGGGGGACCCGGAGAACAGATGGGATGTTGAGAAGGAGGAGCTGTGTTTCAATCGAAGCATCTTCTTCAGAGGCAAATCCCCTTTCGGCGGACAGAAAGGGTCTCTCTGCCTGAAAGGGGTTAAGCTGGGGGACCAGCTGAAAAGAGGGGCGGACGGAAACAGGGAGCTGAAAGACGACGTAACACTTGAGAGGGAACTGGGAGGAGAAGATCAGAGGAAGTGGGCGACCAAGGCATGGGGAGTGGTGCCGAAGGCGTGGAGAGACATGGTGCTTAAAAAACTGACGGCGGAGGAAGTTTTCATGGTTACCAGCTTGGTTCGTACTGCATCATACCGGCCGGGGGAAGTGTTGTACTACAGCCTGGAGAACGCGGCGGACGGAGTACTATACGGCAGGAGGGTGGAGGTTGACAAGAAGGGGTATATCAGCCGGGTGCAATATGCGGACACGAGAGTTATTGACGCCCAGAGGGTAGACCCCATGGTGGTGATCGAGGGAAGATTACGGGGAGAGCTGGGAACCCCGCGGATGAGGCTATTGCGCTCGCAGATCCGTGACAGAGGGGAGCGAGCCGAGCAGAAGCAGTTGAGGAGGGCGATGAAAACCCCAGCATCCCAGCCAAAGCAGCAACTGCAGTGGGAGGAGTCACTGGGGAGGAAGGTCGATTGGGGACGGGCCATCCGAGTCAGGGACTCGCTTACAACCCCATGCAAGGCGAGGGAAATCATCCTGAGGGCACATAGCATTAACCTGCAAGTGGGCGAAAGACTGCCCTTCCTGGGTATTCACTATGGAGCCGTCGAAACACAGGACCACTGCTTGCACAGCTGCCCGACAATACAGCCGGTGGTGGGAATGATGAAGGCAGCCATACGGTGGATGAACCCGGGCAGGGAGGTGGAGTCTCTCGGCGACATGCTGTTCCAAGAAGGCAGCACGTCGACGGGATTTCCGGAAGCAACTCTGATCACAACCACTGCGCACCAAGTCTGGTTGGAGAGGTGTAATGCGATATTCAGAGGCAGCCGTTTCCAGCCAAAGAGAGCACTGAGGCGGATTGCGGTTGGTTTCACAAGGCACGTGAAGATATACAGTCGGGCTCGGAAAAGGGCGGCGCACAGGAAAGGGACAAATGTCAAGGGGGATTGGAGCCACTTGGAAGCTGGCGAGGCAAGCGTCATGCGGAGGCTGTTTGAGTCGGAGGCCTCGATGACGTGGCGTGCGGGGTTCAAAGCAGTATGGGAAGACCGGGGAGTTGCTTTCCAGCCACCGTAGAGGGGATGAGGGGGGTGGGGTTACTTCTCTAGTAGCTTTCTCGACACCCTCCTAGCTCCAGTTACGACTGAGGATGTTTGTATGCATGTAGTGTACTTATATCCACCAAAAAAAAAAAAAAAAAAAAAAAAAAAAAAAAACCCATTTCTAGGCCCACGGGGTTTGCCGTAGGTTCAGCCTGCTTCTGCTCGGTATGCGGCGGTTGTGTCAGGTCACATCGTTAAAATATCTCGTCTGTTGCGGAGCCGACAGTGTTGGCATCGCCACTGAGGAACTGCCACATATTTGCACCGAGTTCAATCGCGATCAAGAACGGTGGAATGAGAACCTATAACGGTTCACCTGGAAACCAGCTGCTCACTGAACCTGAATGGACTTAACCACTCCTGCCAATCACGCAGTCACCTTCCCGCCTAGCATATCAGTCAGTCCCACCCCTCGACCGACCGCACTTTTGAGGCCCAATTCCCGATCCGCCCCGACTGCTTCCGACTCTCGTCCCGTTACTAACGAAGGAATAAACACGCGGCCGACGTTCGTGATCACAAGTAGGGTTTTCTGACAATATATAGTAGTGGCGTCGTGATGACTAGTACGCCCTTTCGTCAGTCCGCGGCGCGGGAAATCGTGAGCTTGCTGCGGCAGCAAGAAACACGGGAGGCCGAGGATAGAAGCGTCGAAAGATCTTCCATTCGGCACCGGCTTCTGCCTGAACCGTCCGATACGTTGCGTGAAGTCTCGAGGGAGGTGGAAGGGGAACCATTTCAAGATGTCGAAATGAGAGAAAGCACAGATGGATACCCGAGGACGCGGGAGAGGGAGAAGGATAGTAGGGAGGCGGGGGAAATGGAAACGGAGAGAGAGAATTTGGTTGTTGTAATCGACGAGGTAACTCCCCTAGTTGCTCCACTCATTAGCGGGGATCATGCGATGGGACTCGGCACTGGGAGCGACGGAAACGGAGGAGCCAGAGGAGCAGCGAGGCTAGGAGGAATGCAGGAAATGTCTATGAATAGAGGTGGAAAGGCTCGAGACGGGTTGAGCTATCTAGATGTTACCGGGAATGAAGTGGAGGCGGAAGAGGAGGACCAACCTCAGTGCAGAATCTGCCTGGAGAGCGATGGTGCGTAGCCACTCATCCCTGCAATACCCCTTTTTTAAAGAATTCTCATGAAACACATTGAGCATGACGAGAGGACCAACCGCAATGCAGATTGTGCCTGGAGAGCGATGGTGCGTAGCCACTCATCCCTGCAATACCCCTTTTTTAAAGAATTCTCATGAAACACATTGAGCATGACGAGAGGACCAACCGCAATGCAGATTGTGCCTGGAGAGCGATGGTGCGTAGCCACTCATCCCTGCAATACCCCTTTTTTAAAGAATTCTCATGAAACACATTGAGCATGACGAGAGGACCAACCGCAATGCAGATTGTGCCTGGAGAGCGATGGTGCGTAGCCACTCATCCCTGCAATACCCCTTTTTTAAAGATTTCTCATGAAACACATTGAGCATGACGAGAGGACCAACCGCAATGCAGATTGTGCCTGGAGAGCGATGGTGCGTAGCCACTCATCCCTGCAATACCCCTTTTTTAAAGATTTCTCATGAAACACATTGAGCATGACGAGAGGACCAACCGCAATGCAGATTGTGCCTGGAGAGCGATGGTGCGTAGCCACTCATCCCTGCAATACCCCTTTTTGAAAGATTTCTCATGAAACACATTGAGCATGACGAGAGGACCAACCGCAATGCAGATTGTGCCTGGAGAGCGATGGTGCGTAGCCACTCATCCCTGCAATACCCCTTTTTTAAAGATTTCTCATGAAACACATTGAGCATGACGAGAGGACCAACCGCAATGCAGATTGTGCCTGGAGAGCGATGGTGCGTAGCCACTCATCCCTGCAATAGCCGTTTTTTAAAGATTTCTCATGAAACACATTGAGCATGACGAGAGGACCAACCGCAATGCAGATTGTGCCTGGAGAGCGATGGTGCGTAGCCACTCATCCCTGCAATACCCCTTTTTGAAAGAATTCTCATGAAACACATTGAGCATGACGAGAGGACCAACCGCAATGCAGATTGTGCCTGGAGAGCGATGGTGCGTAGCCACTCATCCCTGCAATACCCCTTTTTGAAAGAATTCTCATGAAAACACATTCAGCATGACGAGAGGACCAACCGCAATGCAGATTGTGCCTGGAGAGCGATGGTGTGTAGACACTCATCTCTAGGATATGCCTCCGCGCCTCTTCACTCTCGGACCCGCCTGTGATGGAAGCTTCGATGGTAGCGCGCCTCTTCCATCATCGTAACATGGATGGTAGGCTTCCAGTAAGGGAGATCTGATTTACTAATGCCTGTTCTCAAACGTACGATGATGGAAAGTGCCACGTGTGTGTTTCAAGCATGTATGTGTTTTAGGCATGCATGTGTTTCAGGAATGCATGACATTTCCTGATACATACATGCTGCTGTCAACTCCTCACCTCCCTCAGCGGGCCAGGACTCCGTCACCCCCTGGAAATGGTCCAAGGCTCCGTTGGAATCACTCCTTGCAGCATTCAACAATGCGTACCCATGCCCATTGCGTCCCCATCCCCCCCCCGCCCAGGTCGGGACCTCATCGCCCCATGCAGGTGCAAGGGCTCGGCGCGGTTCGTTCACCGGCACTGCCTGGACCAATGGCGGGCCAACAAGGAGGGATTTGCCTTCTGCCATTGCTCCACGTGCAAGGCTCGCTTCCAGCTACGCGTGTGCCTGCCACCCGACCTCAGATGCCGCCATCTCAAGTTCAGATTCTTTGTTGCGAGGGATATTGTGCTCGTAACGCTGCTGGCGCAAGTGGTGAGCCTTGCCTCTGCGCCTTTTTTTAGGCGCCTTCCTCAAAAGGGTACCTCTTGCACCACCTCTTGGCCTGTTCAGTGCCAAAATGAAGTGTCCCTGCATTTTTTTTTTCCGGTCCCGTTTTTTTATCTCTTCACTGTTCATTCTCTCTCACGCAATCTCTTGCACCTCCTCCGGCCGTTTCTACCCTTCCCCCTCCTCCGTCAAAACCACCAGTTGATAATCTGCTTTGGCTACACTGCCTACGTGGCGGATTACTATTGGTTCGACATGGGGTTTCAGAAAACATGGGGCGGGCAAAGTCCAAGAACCTTCTACTACATCTGCGGTGAGAGGGGCTGTGGTGCATGCAAACAGGCATGTGGGGGTTTGTGCGTCACTTCTGTGAACAAGCGCAGCAACATTGTACTACCTACATCTGTGGTGAGAGAGGGCAGTGGTGCCCACCTCCCTGCCTCAACCCCCCCTCACCCTCCCCACCCCCCCCCACCCCCCCTCTACTTTCTCATTCATCGCGTTCCTCACTCACGAATCGCCTTCCTCACTCATGAATCGTCTTTCTCACTCAAGCTGCAAGTGCATTTTTTTTAGTCGACTCAAAAACAGGCCTTTCTCACTCAAGCTGCAGGTGCATTTTACAATTCCTACTTGACCGCCTCCCAGCATTTTACGACTTGACTGCCTCCCAACGTTTTACTACGTGTTTTCATGCCGTGTCCCAACCAGGCGTGCTGCTCTTCCTCGTATCTGCGGGTCTGCTCGGTGCCGTCATGACGTGTGTTGATCGGCGCTTTCGCAGCGACCTTGCAGCTCCCTGCAGAGACATCTGCGCCTGCTGCTGCGACCCCCTGTGAGTGGCTTGTTTTGGCTCCCAAAGAAATGTTATTTGCTCCTCCCTGCAATGACCTGGGTGCTTGCTGCTGCGACCCGCTGCGAATGCACTTTTTGGAGAGCCTAGCTGCTCCCTGCCTGTAGAGGCTTAGCTTCTCCCTGCAAAGGCCAGGGCCTTATGCCACGTGATAGAATTTAGGTTTTGAGACGTCTCAAAACCTGCTGTGAGTGCACCTTTTGGAGGGCCTAAGGAGTTGGTCAAGCGACTCCCTGCCTGTAGAGGCTTTGCTGCTCCCTGCCAAGATCTGGGCGCCTGCTGCTGCAACCCCCTGCGAGTGGTTTGTTTTGGCTCCCCTAGGAATAGACCCAGCAGCTCCCTGCTGTGAGTGCCCCTCTGAGTGTTAAATGCCTGCTGCGACCCACATGCGTGCAGACGTTTTCACAACCCACTCTTCTTCACATCATCCTTTCAATAATGTACATCATCCCCCTCCTCCCTCTTCCCAGTGTGTGTGGCGGCTGTGACTGCCACATGGCACCCATCTGTCTCTACTCAGACTGCTCCGGCTGCTCGTTCTGCGTCTCCGGCTGTAGCGACTGTGCCGCTGCCATAGGAGGATCCTCTGGGGAGGCAGGGCTCCTTATCCTGCTGACACTTGGCGCGATCCTATTGGTCGTGCTGGCGCTGGTGGGGGTGTTTTACTGCTTGCTGGTCTCGACCCTGGTGGTGCAGCGGATATGGCAGCGGCACTATCACGTCCTCGCTAAAAGGATCCTCACTAAGGTACTTGCTCACTTCCATGTTGCTCGTTTTTGGCAAATCCCTGTAGAACAGTTAGTTGTTATTGAACTGTGCTGGCTCTATATTCTTGGGACCTTGCAACTTTTACTCATGCTTGCCTAGCTAATTGATGCTTTTGCTTTTTTTTTTTTTTTTCCCTTTTTCTTTTGAAGAGCTTGTCCTCGTTTAAGCCAGTCTCTCACAAGTGCATAGTTCATTAGTTTGTGATTCTTAGTTCAGCGTGTCTGCTGCCTCTCCCTCTCTGCCTCCTGTCCATCCATCTCCAGTCTCTCCATGTGTTTTTACAAGTACAGTGTGTAGTGCATGACATGTATGGGATGCACTCATTCACAATGTCTATCACTGTTACCTCTATGTATCGTCCTCCTCCTCGCCTGCTGCCCTGTCCTCCATGCCCTTCCCTCCATGCCCCTCCCTCCGTGCCCTTCCCTCCGTGCCCTGCCCAGGAATTTATCGTGGAGGATTTGTCTGGAATGTCTCTCCCTCCTGATTGGTCGCCACCGCCACTGCTGCCCGAACACGACAGGCAGCTTAGGGATTTGCGGCTTCTTTAATTGTGCACGAACCAGGTGCTTTATCAATGCGGCAGGCAGCTCTGTCTCTGCCTCGTCTTGTGCTACTGATGCCCCTGTGTAATTTTGGTTGTAAATATTTCAGCAGCTCCTTTGCCTGTACAGTGTGACCCGTTGTAGGTGATGCTCTTTGAAAGAAAGCACACTTTGGAAGGCACACAAGGCAAACATAAATAACACAAAGTCTGTACTGTGGAACTGGGTGTGTGGGTCACAGCAACTTCTGAGCCAGCCAGCCAAGCCAGCAGTGCAGGACACTGCATGATGACATGCCCTGAGGTCCAGGGTCCATGTGGGGGTATGCTGCTGGTGCCTGTAGCAGCCATTCTCACCGGGAGCTCACTGCATGGGGGATGGTATGCGAGGGCAAGCAAGCGGAGAGAATGCAAGCAGCACAGGGCACACTGTAACGTTTACATGTTCTTAGACATATGTGGAGGGCCTGCTGCTCCCTAGAAGAGCCACGCCCCCAGAGGCTCCCTGCATATGGAATTGGGTGATAACTTGTGATAGGAATAGGCTCACTAAAAATTTAGCGTGTGCTATTTTACATTGTTTTAAGAGGCACTATCATTCAGAGTGCACGTCGAAGTTGAAATTCTCAGACAGATGGTAACGAGGATGGCCTGCAGGGACACTTCCTCACCCCAACTCAACCAACCCAACCGAACAGTCAACCACAATAAAATTCTCCCTGCATGTTCGCTGGAACTACATACCCATACGCATTCTGAAATACTCCGTTCCGACCGAGCAGGCCTCTCGAATCAACAGGGAGCTCTCTTCTCCATCCATTACAACATGGAGAGCCACGGCGACGGCGATGTTGCGAAGCCGGCTCGTCCCAGCACCGCCACAGATGACGCAGAACAGTCAGGTTGCGATGAAAGACCGGCCGCGCAAAATTCCGGACAGTCACAACCGCAAGTCGCGTCCTCGTCGTCCTTGCCAGAGGTACCACTAGCTCTGCAGGACCGCGAGCCAGGCGTCGATGCATCGACTCCCTTGCCAGACGTAGAAGCACCACCGAAATCCTCCTTGCCAGACGCGCCATTCGGATTGGGTGCGGGTTCGACGATCCACTCTCTCGCATTCGACGAGCTTTTCCCGCCTCAGGTGCTCTCCGTGCGATCACCGCTTCGCTACCACGAGCGAAGCTTCTCGCGATACTTCCTGCGCGGTGCGTGGGAGCGTCTTGTGCTTGCTTTCGAGCCAACAACTCCTTCTCCCAGCATAAACGCTAGAATCGTTGACATATTCTCCTTGCGAAATAACTTCTAAGCGCAACTCTCTTTCGAAACCGTTGTGCACCCATTTGTTCCGTGCATCCACCGCTTCTGGTGTCGCAGACGTGGGAGGCATAAAGGGCAACGATCAATACATCTACCGACATGCCAATGGGTAGGTGTACAATGCAATTGTTCTGAAATCAAATCTCTCGGCATTGATTACAGCAATTCTGTGCATTCCAGTAATTGACTGTCGAATCCCTGCCTCATAAACAAGCCACTCAATTCGGACCAGGGATGTTGTGCTCAGTGCAATGTAGGCTCCCTTCTTGTCACATTCGGAATGCATGCTATGATACCCTAATTTGGTTCCGTTCTTCCTTTCCCCCCTGCACCCCTCGCCCCCCTTCGCCCCATTGGTCCCCCTCCCTCCCCTCTGGCAGACTCATTGTGGTGGGCCTTGCTCCTTCTCATGCAGCGCTGGCAGCAGATCGCGCGATCTCAGCCGTTGATTTCCACGTGGGCAAGAGGAGCCGCCTGGAGATGGAGGCCACTGGCAAGAACAAACAGGTGGGGGTTGAGGGTTCAGGGAAGTCGGGGTTGAGGGGTTTGGTTTGAGAGGGGGTGGGGTTGAGAGGGGTTTGGGGGTTGAGGTTTTAATGTTGAAGGTGGGGGGTTTTGAGTTGGAGACTTGGGGTTTTTGCTTAAAATTTGAAGTTTAGGGTTTTAGGGGCTGAAAGCTGAGGGGTAAGGGTTTCAGGTTGAGAGGTTTGGAAGAGGCAGGTGCAGGATGGAGGAGTTGGAGTGAAACACAGGGGTGAATTCTGTGTTGAACGCTGGCACAGGGGTAATCTGGCCGTCCTTAGCTGTTCCTAAGTAGTTGCCGATGGGTGTCCTGCATCTGAGTCACTTTTGAGATTTCTAGAAAATGCCGTTCCTTGACCCGTTCCTATGGAATTGCCTCTGGCTTTCCTGCTTAATCACTCTCAGCTTCATCCTCTACTTCGTGTGTTCATACTCACCATCCAATCAGAGGGCGACACCTCTGGATGCCAACTCAGCTCTCTGCAAGATCGTCATGGTGACGTCACCTCCTGATACAGTCACAACCGCTAGTGGTGACGCCAAAGCTGGCACCACACTTCCCAATGTGACCCCTGCCGCAGTTTCTAATGCGACAGATCCAGCATCTGGCAGCATTGCTGCAGGCACTGGCAGCTTGATTGGCGTGTCAGAAAGAGCAGCAGCTCTGCTCGCTGCCACGGATACAGTCACAGCAGCTGATTCAGTCACAGCAGCTGACACAGTCACAGCCATTGATACAGTCACAGCCACTAATACAGTCACAGCCACTAATACAGTCACAGCCACTGATACAGTCACAGTTACTGATACAGTCACGGCCACTGATACAGTCACAGCTGGTAATACAGTCACAGCTGGTAATACAGTCAGAACTGCTGACGCACTTACAGGTTCTCGTGGTGCAGCCGCAGATGGCGGTAATCCAACCAAAGCCAACAAGAGGAGCAGAGATAGCGAGGAAAAGCAGCCGAACAAAGGGGGTAGTTTGGGATCAAGAGACGAGAAAGATGACGCAGGAAGGAATGGGCAGAGGCAGGAAAATGGGCAAGGAGGAGAGAAGAATGGGCAGGGATATGGATTCTACGTTGCAAGGTGAGTGCAGAGAGGGGAGAATATTTGCATGCAGTGTGTGTCTGCATGCAGTGTGTGTCTGCATGCAGTGTGTGTCTGCTTGTTTTCACGCGCGTGTGACATCCTTGTCCACCTCTCATCCCTCACCCCCACACTCCCCACTGTACCTAGTTTTCCCGTTTGTTTCTCCATCACCCCTTTAGGTGCTGCACTTTAGGTCTTCTCTGGTGTTTTCGTGTCACAGCAATTTTCCGTAATGTGAACGGTTTACCCTCTCTCCTTCAGGTGTTGTGTCAAGGGTCGCCTGATAGAGGTCAATCGCCAGCTGGCCACCCACCCTACACTGCTCAGAGACAAAGTAAGGCCACGTTAAAAAGCATAATGAAGATGATAGAACGGTCTTTCATAAAGCATTGTTACATGTAGCATCGCCTGCTTCTTTGACACAACACAAACAATCTCATTCAACTCAATAAACTTCGTCTGAAATGTCCGTTACTTTATTTTCTTGTTTGTTTGTTGTTTGTCCTTCTAAATTTCATTCTTTGTTCGTTTCCTTGTGGTGCATTCTGCAGGCAGCATCAGAGGGGTACATTGCAGTGCTGCTGCCACATCCTGCTGACTGGGCAGCGGCACTACCAAGGCTCTTGACAGCGAATCAATATGAAAATGCCAATAAACAGTAGCCATGAGTCTGGTATGCTTTGGTGTTCTAAGCACATCGGAACACACAACAGCAGCAGCAGTCTTTGCAGGATAAGTGCAGGCAATGCGTTTTGAAATGTGGATGGTTCATTTATAGTAGTAACAAGAAAAAGGCTGTTTCTATTAAATATATGTGCCAATGAATCCATGAATACCAGCAGTTGTGTCCAAAGCGAATTGAGCTGTTTTTCATTTTCATGTCGTGTTCATTGACTGATGTGACCATTTTACAAACCGCATAACTGTTAGAATGAGAGAATGTGGTGTTTCATTGATGCGGTTGGGGTACATATAGAAACCCTTGTTGGAAACAAGAAGTCGCTAGAGCGCAGCGGAAGCTCTAGGAAGATAACGACGTCCCTACGGCGGGGCAATGGTCACTCAGAGGTAGCTCTCCTAGCTTGTAACTTGGTGCCAGAGCAGCGGCCGAGGGTAGGCCGGACACAAGCTTGGGAATTGTGTAATATGAGCAATGCAATACATTCAGTTATATAGGAAACATAGCAGGCAGGCAGTTACCAAGGCGCAACTGTATAACAGTTGCGCCACGTCGCTTGGGTTGCTCTGTTAGAGTCGTGATGGCGAGACTGTTCAGCTTCGGCAAGGGCGCGGTATTCAGCCGCGCCCTGCAAGACATTTCACGTACTGTAGACGCTGCCTCCTGCTGTCGATTCGACTCTTGATCTGCCACGCGGGTCGCAACCGCTGTGCTCGGTTGCGCCCCGTTGACTCGCCACCAGGTTCAAATCCCTCGCTATGGCGAGCCCCTGTAAGCACACTTCGAACAGTGCACTTATAATAAAAGCATACAAACATATTCTCAACAACCCTAACAGATGTACCCCCTAAGACAAGCCTCACTACAGGCTACACATTTGACACACCCCCATAGCCTAAGTGAGGGGTGTCGAACAAAGACCTACAGAGTACCAAAGCCTAGACCAGTCCAAAAGAAACAAAGCTCAGGGTGGATCACAACGTCGCCACACACTCTGAGCACAAACACCAGGGGCCACAAGGCCAGTCCAAGAACTCACAAAGATACACAGCAAGTGTACAGCAAAACAAACAGTCAACTCAAGTCTACACAAGACGAGAACCAGTGTCAACAAGGCCTAACTGCACACAACACCTCTGGTGATCACAAGGCGGAAGTGCCTTGGTGAAGATGTCTGCAGTGTTGGCCTCGGACTCCACAAACTCGAAACGAGCCTGTCCACGCCTCTGTAACTCTCGCAGAAGAAAGTACCTGACATTGATGTGCTTCACTCTGCTCTCCAGTCGTGGCTCACGACAAAGGAGAATCGATGCCTTGTTGTTGTTGGGCTGAGAAAAAGCCCTTAGGATCTTTTGCAGGGGTAAATTCGGGGTAGGACTATTGTAATAGCGGAAGCGTTTAATGAAGAAGTTGTGAACCACCTTGCGCTAGTGTGTGAGGGCAAAGTAAGTTCACAACTTCTTCATTAAACGCTTCCGCTATTACAATAGTCCTACCCCGAATTTACCCCTGCAAAAGATCCTAAGGGCTTTTTCTCAGCCCAACATGGTATGAGAGCTATCAGGGAAAATTCAACTACTACCAAGACATCAACAGACGACATGGCAACATACAAGGAAAGGAGTTCCTCCAATGGTTCTCCCGGGACTACTCCTACCCCACCTCCTGCCTCTGGCCTGCAGACAGAGGAAGGAACCGCAACGGGACCAGCAGCGCCTTCGGCCAGCCAGCCTGCCAACTTCGACCAGAGTATGATGGAGAAGTTCTTCTCCTTCATGTCGTTTTACGAGCAACACCAGCAGTCAGCACCTGCGCAGTCAAACAACAGCAACAACAACAACGTGACTCCAATGAGTCTTGATGGCTCATCATATGCGCGCGGAAATCAGCAACAACCTACCTTTGCTCCGTATGAACGCGGGTCCATCAGCTTCATGCCGCAAGCTCCATCTGGACAAGAAAGACAACTGGATGCACTACAAGTACAGTCGCAATTCGCGCACGTCTTAAAACTGCAGACGTCAAGGCCCTTCGACGGAAAAGACTTCTTTACCTGGTCTTTCGAATTCGAGCTGATGATGGAAGGCGCGCAGATACTTGGCTTCTTCGACGGGTCTGTACCATACCCAACAAACGGCACACAGTATGAGAAGCAGCAGTACACATATCAGTCGATGATGGCGTATACGATCCTACTGAGAAATATCACCCCAACTCAGCAGCAGAACATACGGTCTTACCGGGGATTCGGCAACTCCGCGGAACTCGCGTACAAGCACCTGAAGGACCTGTATCAAGCAACAGACAGCGTCAGTCAAAGTCGGCTAATGGCGCAACTGACAACGGTTGAAATGAAACCAGGCGAAAAGGGAATGGCATATGTCAGCCGATGTCGCGAACTGCGCGACAAGCTTCTTCGATGCGGAGGGTCAATCTCTGAAGACGCCTTCGTGACAGTCATCATCGGCGGCCTCGGTCCTCAATGGCGCGCAACAAAAGCCATTCTCCGAGCCCACGGAAGAATCTCCGAAGCAGCGCTCTGCGCCGAAATACATGCTGAGCAGCAAGACATGGACCTGCAAGAAGAACGACACAAGAGAAAGACATCAGTACCGGAATTCGCGTTCCACACTCAGCGACGCTACAACAACAACAACAACCGACAACAACAGAAGCACGTACCTCCGTTCTGCCATATCTGCAAGACGTCAGGGCACCCGCGCACACACTGCCCGAATCGACAACAGTCAACACCACAACAGCAACAGCTTCGACCCTCAAGCAGCCAAGTTGCTTCAACGCAAGCGAATCCTACGACCCAGGTTCAAGCTTCAACAACGGGACAACCTGCACAAGGCGCAAGAAACATCGTCAGTTGTATGGCAAGACTGACCGACTCCTGCATCACCGAATCACCACCTCATTACTCACCGGAAGAACAGCTTGACAACAGCACGCCCCGCCGCGAGTCACTGCAGCCAAACCCGACATACGCCGCTATCGCCCAGAGTGAGCCATCCGGGAAGGACACATGGTTCTTGGACAGTTGCTGCGGACAACACATGTGCTCTTCAGGACGCTTCGTACAACGAGAGTACCAACTCCAACGAGAAGTAGTCATCACCGTCGCCAACAACCAGAATCTGCGCACACGGCGACAAGGCGTGGTACAACTTCAGTCACGAGAAACAAGTGTCATTCTACAAATGACAAAAGTTCTAATCGCAGAAGGCCTCGGTTATAACTTACTGAGCGTCAGTCAGTTGATGGCGAAAGGCATTCACCTCGAAGCAGACAGCACCACCCAGGAGTTCAAGCTGTACCACGGAAAGGGCGGCCTCTACATCGGAAAGGCGATCCTCAAGAATAACGTCTTCGTTCTTGATTTCGTACCAGACCTTGGCACCGCTGACAGCGACGGCATCGTCAGTTTTGCTCCTTGGACACATCCTCCAGATCTTGACCCAGACTTCAGTCCCGGCGGCTTCTGGCACTCACACACCATTCCTGAAACAGAGAGAACAAGGGCGTTAGCAACAACATCGGCAGCAGCAGAGACAACATCGGCAGCAGCAGAGACAACATCGGCAGCAGTAGAGACAACATCGGCAGCAGCAGAGACAACATCGGCAGCAGCAGAGACAACATCGGCAGCAGCAGAGACAACATCGGCAGCAGCAGAGACAACAACGACAGCAGCAGCGGCAACATCGACACCAATCGCCGGTCCCTCAACGGCACCAATCTTCATCGACGGTTCGCCTCCGACACCCGCACAGCAGTTAACCCCGGCACCACGAGAAGTCCACCGAAGCACTAATATCACCGCTGGCTTCTTTTTAAACTCAGACATGTACAGACGCTCACCCGGGCACCGCGCCAGCGAAGACATCTGGCACGCACGGATGGGACACCCAAGCAACACAACGTTAAACAACACAATAAGAGCAGGAGTGCTCGACAAAGACTCCCTACTACTGCACGATGGAAGAGAACTTCAACGAGTCAGAGGAACATGCTTCACCTGCCCCGAAGCCGACTTACCGCATCAACCGTTCGTATCTCACCACAACCCAAGCGCACCTGCATACACACCACTTGAGAAGGTATACAGCGACATCCTGTACAATCGCGCAACAGGGCAAGGAGCCTTCAATTACACCATCCCCGGCATCGGTGCCATGTTGAGAATATGTTTCTATGCTTTTATTATAAGTGCACTGTTCGAAGTGTGCTTACAGGGGCTCGCCATAGCGAGGGATTTGAACCTGGTGGCGAGTCAACGGGGCGCAACCGAGCACAGCGGTTGCGACCCGCGTGGCAGCTGAAAAGTCGGATTCTGCAGGAGGCAGCGAGAACAGTACATGCAACTGACCTGCGCGGCGCGGCAGGATACCGCGCCCTTGCCGAAGCTGAAAAGTCTCGCCAGTGAGACTGTAACAAGGCAACCCAAGTGACGCAGCGCAACTGTTATACAATTGCGCCTTGGTAACTGTTTGCCCTATCTGTTTGCTATATAACAGAATGTAATGCCTTGCTCATATTACACAATTCCCAAGCTTGTGTCCGGCCTACCCTCGGCCGCTGCTCTGGCACCAAGTTACAAGCTAGGAGAGCTACCTCTGAGTGACCATTGCCCCGCCGTAGGGACGTCGTTAATTCCTAGAGCTTCCGCTGCGCTCTAGCGACTTCTTATTTCCAACAGTTGTCAGAGAACAAGGTCAGTGCAGAGCTCGGCCTCTCACCAAGGTCAGTGAGCAAGAAGGTCAACCAACGCAGCTCTTGTGCCGCCATGGCACCAGCGTAGATCTCAGCCTCAGCGGTGGAGGTCGAGACCGAGGAGGAGCGCGTGGACCTCCAAGAAACAGCTCCAGAACCCAGACTGAAACAGTAACCCTGAGTAGACCTGTGAGTCTCAGCGTCGTCAGCGTAAGAAGAGTCACAGTGACCAGTAAGTGCGACAGACTGCTGCCCTCCAAGAAC